CACACCCCATCATGCAGTTGATGCTTCAGGGCGTGGGCAGAGGGTGTGGCTGCCATAGCGCTGATGAGCTGCCTGGGCGATCTGCGGCGGGCCCTGGAGGCGGTGAGTGGTCCTTTGGGCAGGCGGGGCGGGGGATGGGGGGCAGAGCGTGGGCGGGGCAGGAGGGGTGGAGTGGGGGCGGGGCCAGGTTTTGGGCGCTCGGTCTCTAAAAGGTTCGCCATCATTGTTATAGGTGAATAAAAAAATTATTAAAAAAATTATTCTGCCAGACTGTTATCCTTCTAGAAAGCTCAGCCACTAATAGAAGTTTTGACATCAGTGATTGCTGCTCTCATGCATAGCCAGGTCTGCAACCTTGCTGGCTAATCAGGCAGCCTTCCCCTCCGCAGATCCTCCCTGAGCTGCCAGGAGCATCTTCAGCTGCCGCCGTCCAAGGAAGCAGCGCTTGCAGCCAGCGATTCCCCAGAGGGCAGGACAGGACTGCCACAGCAGCTGTTTTACTGATGTATTGCATATGCAGGTAGCCCTCGACTTGCGGCCACAATTGAGCCCAACGCTTCCATTGCTAAGCAAGACAGCTCAGTGAGTTTTGCCCCGTTTTACGGCCTTTCTTGCCACAGTTGTTAAGTGAATCGCTGCAGTTGTTAAGCTAGCAAGACAGTTGTTAAGTGAGCCTGGCTTCCCCATTGAATTTGCTTGTCAGCAGGGGATCACGTGACACCCGGGACACTGCAACCATCATAAATGCATGCCAGTGGCCAAGAGTCTAAATTTTCATCATGTGATCACAGGGTGGCTGTGACGGTTGTGTGAAAAATGGTCGCAAGACACTTTTTCCAGTGCCGTTGTAATTTTGAATTATTACTAAACAAATGATTGTAAGTCGAGGAATACCTATATAGCTTTGCTCTTCAGAGTTCAAGGCATGTGATGTCTGTCTGTCTGTCTGTCTATCTATCTACCTATCTATCTATCTATCTATCTATCTATCTGTCATCTATCTAATCTATTTATCCATCTGTCAGTCTGTTTGTCTGTCTATCTGTCTGTCTATCATCTATCAGCAAATTTATGTGGCTGCTCAACTCACACAGTGGTTCCAGGTGATTTACAGCACTAAAAATCCACAACATAAAACCCATTGCTCCCACTTGCCATTCCAAAGTGGGTTGTTCAGCAGCATCTGGAATGCCACATATTGCCTATTGCTGGACCACCTATGACAGGTGCACAATTTGTCCTAAGTTGGGAGGAAGAACAGCAGAGGTCTGCCACTTTCCTTAGTTTGAGGGCCGTACCAGACTTTGCATGGTTTCTGAGGACTATTTGAAAGGGAATCTCTGGCATATGAGTGAGTGAAATAAGTGTCCATAAGGCTGAAGCCACCCATGCTGCCTCTTAAAACTCAATGCTACGGATCTATCCACTTGGAGTGCCACAAGAGCAATGCTGAGCTTGCACTCTCCCATGAGCAAAGAAACCAGAAAGGAGAATTTAACTCAGAAAAATAGTGGGCTGTGAAAATACTAGGTTGTGCTAGTGGCTTTTAAATCAATTTGCAAATCACTGCTTTCAAGAATACAAACACCCTGGCTTTTATAAGTCAGGAACAACAGCATTAATTAAACAGCACAGCATTCTAAACTGCCACCTACTGGATGCAAATTTCCAATTTAGACTCCCTGTTTATATCATTTTTCTGAAGCTTCTTTTGTCTAACAATATCTCAAAGCTCTTTATTTGTTGGCTTAATTAACTGAGCCCAGTCTTAGAAAGGTCAGCACCATCATTTTCTTTTCATAGTTGCAGAATCAGATTACAGCCAGTCATTTAACAATTCAAATTTATGACAGCACTGAAAAAAGTTGCCTTATGATTGGCACTTATGAACATCACAGGATCCCAATAATCATGTAATCCAAATTTTGGAGCTTGGCAACCAGTGTATACTTCCAACAGTTGCTGAATCCTGGGGTCATGTGATCTTCCCAGGGGGCTTCTAACAAGCAAAGTCAATGGGGAAGTTGGATTTGCTTAAGGACCACAGTCATCTGCTTAATGACAGCAACAAAAGTTGTAATTAAATCAGGCATGGCTTACTTAACCACTGCATTGCTTAGCAATGCAAGTTCCAATCCCAGTTGTGGTTGTAGGTCAAGGACAACCTGTAGATATATATCAGGGATGTCAAACTCAATTTCACTGAGGGCCGCATCAGCATTGCGGTTGGCCTCAGGGGGGGGGCTGGGTGGGTGTGGCCAGGGTAGGTGCGGCCTACTGGGTGGGTGTGGTCAGCTCTACATCGTTAAGGGTGCCTGTGGGGGCCTGGGCAGGAGTGGGACAGATCTGAGGGTCTCTGGCAGAAGGGGGTGGGACTGGGGCAAGCGCCAAGGCATGGTGCATTTCTTCATTCCTCACAAAGGGTGACACCTCCCCAGCATGCACCCAGGGGGCGGGGCCAACACGGCAGGGGCTGGTTCCTCGCTGTTTCTAGACAGCCTTGTGGAGCTAAGACTGAATGCGTTTCAGCATAGGTGGCCACCACAAAATTGTACATTGGCTCCCGGCTGGCCTGGGCCAGGGCCAAGGCAGAGGGGGCCGTTCCCTCACTGTTTCCAGGATGGCTTTGCGGGCCACATGAAACCACTTCGCGGGCCGCATCCGGCCCCCGCACCTTGTGTTTGACATGTCTGATATATATATAGTGCTACTTTTTTCTTGACAGGCAGAAATCCTACAGGTTCAGATTTTTCCAACCTGGTGATTCAGAGATGAAGCGCCAGTGAAATTGTAGCTGCTGCCTTAGAACAGAGGGCAGAGTTGGTATTGTCAGCATTGCAATGTTTTTAGAAAAAACATTATTGTCTAGCAGTGTTTTGTGCTTTCTTCCTTCTTCCTGTCCTTCCGAGTTAGTTTCTCCAAATGTAGTGGGGCCATAGCTGTCGATATCCCAAACCACCATAATACTGTTCCCAAGAAATTCTGGGAGTTTAGTTCCAACACACTCATGCTGGACATAGTTTAAACGGTAGAAATCAAACTCAATATCAATAGCCTGTGTCACTGTTTAATCGGGGTTTGTGGATTAAATCACAATTGGAAAGGCTCACACAAGATGTGAAGTCATTAATCATTCAATTTCACAAATGTGTCTCATTTCCCTGGTTACAAAATGATAGCTTTGTATCAGATCTTTGTTTGGAATGTTAGAAAAAAGCATACTTTTAACAGTGACTCTGAAATTTGGGGCAAGGAGATCCACCAATAAAATGGATCCGTAGAATAGAAATAGAAAGAGGCTTCTAGAGAGAGGGGAATGCAAGAGAATTCATGGTGAAACAATGGATTGATTAGATCACTTTCCTGATTGATCTTTCAATTCATTCCTTGATCTTCATCCTGTTTTCTCATACCTCCAGTTGTTATAACCCCAATAATTCTCACCAAAGTGGATGGTAAAAGTAAAAAAAGGAGTCCCTGTGGATTTTAGTCCACTAGTCCAGGGGTAGGCAACCTTGGCTCTTTTATGACTCGTGGACTTCAACTCCCAGAATTCCTGAGCCAACCATGCTGAGGGGAAAGGGAGAGGTTCCAAACTGAACCATGCTGGCTCAGGAATTCTGGGAGTTGGTCCATGAGTCATAAGAGCCAAGGTTGCCCACCCCTGCATAGTCATTGCCGACTATAGGGGGCAGTGCTGATCTCCATTTCAAGGCCTTGTCATTGAAGGGGTACCTATTTATCTACTCGCATTTGCATGCTTTTGAACCGCTGGGTTGCAGGAGCTGGGGCGAGAGCTGGAGTTAACCCCGTCGCATGGTGCTCAGGTCTTGAACCCGGGCAGCCAGCTTTCCATACGATAAACCCAGAATCTTAACTGCTGAGCACCCTGCCACCCTACCAAAGTGGATGAGGACCCTCCAAATTTTTGCGCGACTGTACAATACAACTGTCTATCTGAGAAGCAGGACAGGAAAAGTATTGGAGTTGCAGAGGACTTCTGGGAACACCCTGGACAGCAAGAAAACAAAATAATGAATCATTAAACAAATCAGCTCAGAGTTCTTGCTTAAGGCACAAATGACCAGGGTCAAATTATGCTACTTCAAACAGATTACGTGAAGATCCAGCTCTTGAAAAAGGATCCATCATGTGGTAAGGGGAAGGAAAGAGGAGAACCAGGAGCAAAGTGGGTGGACTCAAGTTACAGTGGTGATATCTCAAAGGTGCTTTTTCCAAAGGCAACTGGACTATCTTTGTTTCTCCTTGAAGACATTTCCCTTCTCATCCAAGAAACTTCCTCAGTTCAGAATTGAAGAAGCTTCTTGGAAGAGAAGCAAAACACATTCAAGGGGGGGGGAGGCAGTCTGGTTGCCTTTGGAAAAAGCACCATTGGGACAACCATGATCTGGATAACTGACCAATCTCCATTTAAACTGGTGATGAGTTTACTGTTGGGAAGCTTGAAAGATCAGGGATATATTGAAGAAAACCCTTCTCGGGGGTTCTAAGGGTTGAGAACAACTTGATGGCAATACTCAGTCAATCAATTGCTGTCCTTGGAATCTCTTGCCTTGTTGGCTACTGAGACAAGCTGGAGGGAAACTTTTGGAAACTTTTCCATAAAGGTGCTTTTTATTTGTTTGTATGTTTGCATGTCCTCCAGAATTCCCCCAAGCGCTGTTCCCAAGGCTCTTATAGGTGAGTGGGGCCTCCGCCAGAATTCCGAAGCAGAGAGACGACGCATCAGATAAAATTCCCCCGTGCCGCGGAGCATGCACAGAGTTCCTTCCGGAACCGCTCCCTCACTGCAAGATACGCTGATCTTTCTCGCTGATGTGAGAGCCAGCGAGGGTCAACTGGCCCCAGGGCAAGGAGCGGAACCGAGCGCCCGCCATGGCCGTCGGTGGCGTCGCTTCCACCCCCCCCCCCGCATCCCATCCCCGAGAGGGCCAGCCTGCCTTCCGGAGAAGCGTGTCCTTCCAGGCAGATCGTGCGTCACGTGGCCCAGGTGAGGGAGGGGCCCAGACGCGGTTCACCTGGCTGGGCAGGTAATGCCAAGGCGGGGCTGGGGGCAACGATTTCCCAGGAGGGGGAGAGAAGGACGACCCTCGGTGTGGGGAAAAAGTGAGCTCGCCCCCCCCCTCCTCGGGGCCCCGGAGCGGCTGGAGGCCTTCCGCCAGGAAGTCGAGGCAAGCTTGGCCCAGGTAACGCCGTGGGTGACACTTCCCCCTTGGATGCTTCGCTGCCTTCCTCCGCCTGTGCAGCGTTTCCCACCCCCGGCCCAGTTTGGGGGGACTCTTTCGTCGCTGCGCCTCTTTTTGCCCCCGAGGATCCCTCTGACTCTGGGCAGGAGACCGGAGGCCAGGCCAACTCCGAAGGGCTGGGCCAGCGAAAGTTTGACATTTGCACCGCCGAGGGTCGCCGGCGCTGCGGAACAGGTAACCTCTCGCGTTTTGTTTTGCCTTGTGTAAAACTCAAGAACTCGCCCCCCGCCACTCCCCAAAAGCCCTACATTCTGCGTGGAGACCCCTAAGGTCCGGTAGATCCCACGGCAGACTTTCTAGCCAATCAATAGGCTAGGTTGCATTCTTACCTGTAGAAAGATTGCTGGGATTTAGTTCAGCTACTCCGGGGACGGCTCGTTAACCCCCCAAAAGAGAAAAGGGGAATGGCCCGACAGGCAGCTCAGTCCTGGGAGGGGAAAATAAACACCCCCCCTCCCTGTCCAGATGTTTTGGACTTCAACTCCCAGCAGCCCCAGCCAGCAGGATTAGCTGCAAGGGAAAGGGGGGGTTCCAGTTCAAAAAAATCTGGAAGTCTTTTCTCTCTCTCACTCACACACACACACACACAAGACTGAGGTTCCTCTCAGGACATTTCTTCAGAAGGATTTTATTTGCATGTTTGATTAATGAATGTTATTGATTTGAAAGTTTAGCTAATCTGATGGAAAACTGTCTGCACACAGCTCTTTGTAATGCTACAGGTCAGGCCAGATGATCAACACTTCATAACATATGGATCCACCCATTTTCTCTCTTTTTAACCAGTGACTGGAACTTTATTTGAACTGTAAAGAGACCCCCCCCCTGCCCCACCCATACATTTACAAGAGACTTCCTGAATCTTAAAACAGCTACTCAATCTTCTCTTTCCATTCATCAGAGTCCTGTATTAAAGGAGTCCAAATAATATATTCTGTTTTCTTATTTTATTTACAAAGACAACATGCCCCAAAATAAGTGATATCTCTTCTAAAATATTAGGTCATGGCTGATTATTGAGAAACACGGCTTTACTATTGGAAAAGTTGTGTGTCTTTGTTAGTAGTAGCAGGAATTAGATGGGAAGTAACAGGAAATTGCTCATGGGTGGGGGCAATTCCCACAAGGAATTTGTTAAAATGACACATAATAGGCATGGTTCATTCAGGTGATTTGGGAAAGGTTTGTAAATGTGAGCCAACTTAGATTTGTTCAACACAATATTGGTAACTCACCCGTTTGCGTTCTAATGGAGAATATTAGTATAGAGGTTTATTGTTCTTGGCTGTTACGCTTTGGACTTAACCTTTTAACTATACTAAGCATTATATTACATAATTAAGCCTTATATCAAACCATTTGAAGTGTTATTCTCAGTGCACCTCAACTTGTTAATTTACAAATTTATTTTATGTACAACGAAATGAGATATTTACAGGATTATTCCACAAGAAGGAAAAACTCATGAATTTGTTTATCAGTTCAAAGTATGAAAATAAAATACCGCTGCCATCTAACAAATACATTTTAATACTTCTGCCAGTCCACAACGAAAGCTTACAAAACATTAATTCCTATTAAAAGTTTGGAAGCCGTTGCCAGTCAATACTCTGTTGTGCAAACTATATTATAGTTTAGTGTGATCCATGATTCAATTAAATTTTTATTTTATTTATTATGACATTTACTTGCTGCCCATCTTGTATCTAATGACCCTTGGTGGCTTTACAACATAAAATAGTTATATATTTGGTATGACCTAGAAAACATGGATTTATCAAGGTTTCTTGATGAAAATGACCCAAACTCTGGCTGGCTGTTGACATTTGCAATTCTTTACTATGAAATCAACTAGACTAGAGCGGCATTTCTCAAACAGATTTTATTCTGTTCCACTTTATTTTGTTTATTTGTTTCTATTCCACGTTTTTTAAAAAAAATATTTTATTGATTTTCTAATTTTACATTTAAGTATTTAAAAAGCAACGTGATGGCTGAGTTAATCGAAAATTCAATAACATACAACTTTAGTGCAAATCTCAAACTACCACATTAAATATTTCCTCTCTTTTCCCCTTTGTATTTACTGTCTCATGTTTAAACTAATACAATTCTTATTCTATCAAATAAAAATAACATTCTTACATTTATCAATAATATTTAGCTTATACATATCCTGGTTATTTTAACATTCAATCTTTATAGACAATGTCCTAATTAGTTTTTCCCAATTTTTAGTTTCCCATTAACATTTAAATTTAACATTTAATATATATAATTTCCAAGTTTTAAGTGACTAAAGTTCCCTTTATCACAATTCATCACAAAATCTAATATTCAGGATGCACATCTTATCTATTTGAATATATTCCATATATTCCACCTTTCTTACTTTTACAGGGGTCTTCAAACTTGGCCCTTTTATGACTTGTGCACTTCAACTCCCAGAATTCCTTAGCCAGCGTGCCTGGCTGAGGAATTCTGGGAGTTGAAGTCCACAAGTCATAAAAGGGCCAAGTTTGAAGACCCCTGCTTTTACAAATACCTCAAGGTGGCAAACATATCCAAATAGGAGCTTCCTCCTCCTATTGTTCCCACAACAATAACCCTGTAAGGTGCGATGTGTTAGAGTTAGGGTTGGTGTGTGACTGGCCCAAGTCACCCTGCTGGCTTTCAGGACTAGAACTCCCGTCTCCTGGTGATTGGTTCAAAGTCACCCAGGTGGCTTTCATGGATAAGGTGGGACTCGAACTCCCAGTCTTCCACTTTCTAGCCTGGTGCCAAACTGGCAAATTTTACATTCATTTAACTAAAGAAAATCTAAGCCTTGTTCATGAATAGTTTGGTAACATTCAGATTTTATTAAAATATTATTATATCACCCAAGCTTATTGCATGTGTACACACTCTCAGTTTTTGTTGAGACTTCGTGTGAAATGCTGAGATTGTCTTTAAGGCCTTCTCAATTTGACTGTGGCTATTTTAACAGAGATCCCTCCCCTTAAGCTGGCTTCCCATTTGACACTAAGCCATCATTTCATCTGATGTAGCATGATATGGAAATTCAGCCATTGTGGTTGCCAAAACATAATTATTGATTTAGTATGCAAGTATGTAATTTGGCCTGTGTAAACCAGGTCACTTTAGCTAATTTAACATCCAGCATTAAAAGAAAAACCTGGAGCTGAATGCAAGGGCTTTTCTACATTTTTCTCTTCCCTTGTTTTTCTTATTATTTGCTTTTGTATGTTTGTATTTTATATTATAAGCTAAAGAATTAACTTCAAAAATTTTCTTCTTTGCCTCTTATACTTGCAGACTTGCATAATGGCCAAGTTCAGGCAGCACACTTAACCCTAATCCCTAGTTAACAGCATGCAATTGGTACGTCCAGATAATGTGCTAAGCCTTACAGGTAATCCTCAACGTACGACTACAATTGGGACTGGAACTTCCATCATTAAGTGAGTCATCATATGACCAAGGCTGATTTTATATGACCTTGTTTGCCACAATTCTTAAGTGAATCATATGACTTTGCCCACTGACTTTGTTTGTCTGAAGCTGCCTGAGATGGTCACAAATGGTGATAGGGTGACCCTGGGAAGCTGCAACCATCAGAAATAGATGCTGGTTGCCAGGCACCCAAATTTGGGTCACGTGACTGCAGGAACACTTTGGTCATAAGTGGGTGGACCAGTAAGTAAGTCACTTTTTTTAGCACCGTCATAACTTTGAAAGATCATTGAACAAATGGTGTAGGTTGTTTATGGTTGAGGACTGCCTGTACTTAACATGATGGCCTGGATCCCGTAGCATGCTAAGATTGTGTCTGTTGCATTGTCACAATGCGCTGAATCCCTAACTGGCCAACCTGTTTTAGTTTGGCATGTTATGTGAACATAGTCACCCACAGTTATATCACTAGTTTTGGAGATTATTTAGAAAATGGGGAAATGTTTCAGAGTATGGTCTGATAGTTTGTTAAGCTGACATGCCTGCTTAACTCTGCACCTGTGCTGAATGTGCCCTTGGAGGATCCAGGTATTTGTTTAACTATTATTTTTTAGCCGCCTCTTTATGTGTTTTGCAGGCTGCTAGGTTCCTTGGATGCCCAAGTGACAAACATAATTTAAAATACCTCTTGCACTTCCCTTCCTGCCTCCAAATCAGGTTCTGTTGCACTTTCACACAGTGCTGGAGGTATGGCCCATAGTTCAGGAAAAGGAAGACAAAATACAGCTGAGCAATAGTTGGTGACCTTAGTAGAAAAAAAAAATACATAGCTGCAATGGTGGTAGCTTGGGCAATAGATGTTGGATTAAAAGGAGGTGAATGGATCAAATCTTCACTTTTCCTCAGTTTTGCACTCCTGCAATAACTTTTACAAGTACCTTGCAGGAAATTTTCCTAGGATTACATCTCATGCACCAAAATCTCTATTACTAACACATGCTAGAATTCTGACTGCATTTGTTTGTAAAATTGAAATGTATGTCAAAAACGTTGTTAACTTTGACCTAACTAATCCTTCCTGGGAGATTTCCCAGATGCCAGGCAGCACAGCAAACATAGCTTATTTGTCTTGCAAAAATGGCATTCTTTCTTCCCTCTTAAGAAAGTATTTTTCAAAATTCTACCAGGTTTAGTTTATTTGGAAATAGCAGGCAGAAATCAGAGATTCTATAACTGGGAGGGAGGGAGGGAGGGAGGGAGGGAGAGAGAGAGAGAGAGAGAGAGAGAGAGAGAGAGAGAGAGAGAGAGAGAGAGAGAATACTACTGTAGTATCTGCCTTGTAGCCTCATAAACTCTCCAAGATACATAGATGGAATGTGCTGTGACCACCTTGCTTAACAAAGAAGATATGTGTCACCTTTTGGTTATTCATTTCAACATCACCAGTTTATCATAGTTCGATTGGATGTCCTGCAAGCCAGGTCTGTTTTCCTAACTTACCTTTACCTGTCCACTAAATACCAAAAAGTATATTAAGCAAGACAGATCAGGATATATTTCATGTTCTCAATTGCAAGAAGAATACACAGTTCCCGGCATATGCTGTCTATTGTGTTGCTATCACATTAGTGAGCCCTGGTTGAGCAGTGATTAGAATGCAGTATTGCAGACAAACTCTGCCCACAGCAAGGAGTTTGATCCTGACAGGGCTCAAGGTTGACTCAGTCTTCCATCCTTCCGAAGCCGGTAAAATGAGGACCCAGATTGTTGGGGGCAATATGCTGACATTGTAAATCACCCTGAGAGTGCTGAAAAGCACTACAGCAGGGGTCTTCAAACTTGGCCCTTTTATGACTAGTGGACTTCAACCCCAGAATTCCTCAGCCAGCATGCCTGGCTGAAGAATTCTGGGAGTTGAAGTGCACAAGTCATAAAAGAGCCAAGTTTGAAGACCCCTGCACTACAGAGTGGTATATAAGTCTAAATGCTATTGCAATTGCTATAAGACGGGTCTTCAAACTTGGCCCTGTTATGATTTGTGGACTTCAACTCCCAGAATTCCTCAGCCAGCCTTTTACGTATCATAAAAGGGCCAAGTTTGAAGACCCCTGCTATAAGAGTTCCAGACATGCAAAAGAGCACAGCTATCCTGGCTCTTGAAGCATCTGCTAAGACAGGTACTCCTTCTTCAGTCCAGGGGTGCCAGAAGGCGAAATCTTCAAGCTCAATTTTTGGAGTCTGCTCTCTAATAGTACTGAATTTCAGCAATATCCTTGCCAAAAATTGGTGGTACATTTCTAGTTCCTTTTGAAATTGAAAATCTGACTACTATAATGTAATTCACAAAAATATATTTAATATACTTTAAAAAAAAACAACGGAACCTTGCCTGTTTTGCAATTATGTGCTTGGTGCCTCCCCCAACCTTCTCAAAAAGTTGTCCATCTCTGCTTTAAGTTATCTCCCCTGTCTGAAACAATACGCGTAGTCCTCAACTTATGACCATAATGGAGCCCCAGATTTCTGTTGCTAAGCAAGATAAGTTGTGGCCCATTTTATGATCTTTGTTCTTAAGCGAATTGCTACAGTTGTTAAGTGAATCATGAGGTTGCTAAAGGAATCTGGCTTCCCCTATTGACTTTGCTTGTCAGGAGCCGGCTGGGAAGGTCACCAATTGTGATCACGTGACCCCAGGACAGTGCAACGGTCATAAATACATGCCTGTTGCTAAGGGCTTGAATTTTGATCATGTGACCGTGGGCATGGTGCAACAGTCATAAGTATGAAAGCTGGTCATAAGTCACTTTTTTCAATGCTGTTGTAACTTTGAAAGGTCACTAAAGGAATGGTTGTAAGTAAAGAACCACCTGTGATTCCTTAGGATTGGAAAAGTTTGCTTCATACCTGGAAACCTCTTGCTGGTTCCAATCAGTCTGATCATCTGGCAAATATTCAGGTTTTATTATGTAGTTTCTATATTTGTCAGAGAATCAAATTGACTAGAATTCCAAACAGTGTCTGGAAAACACTGTGCTATGTTTTCTGAGTTTTGATAGCTGCAGAGCACCTGATTTCTAAGTTAAAAATGAAAGGACTTGGCTCTGGATTCCCCAAATAGGTAAAAAAATTATATGATTGCTCCCTGTGTTCCTGCATGCATGGATTGAAGCCCTAGAGGAGAGAGTTTACACCAGTGATTCTCAACCTTTCTAATGCCGTGACCCCATAATACAGTTCCCCATGTTGTGGTGATCCCCAAGTGGGTGTGGCCACCAATAAGAGGGAGTAGGACAGCTAGGGAAAAGGGGAAAAAGTGGCGGACAGCGTGGTTTGGTGACCCCCGTGAAATGGTCATTCGACCCCAAATGGGGTCCCGACCCACAGGTTGAGAACCGCTGGTTTACACAGAGGAGCAGGAAGGGGGGGGTTGCATATATTTTTTATTAAACCTTTTAAACAAGAAGATAAAAAAGTAACACAAACTAATATAAAGTAAGGAAGAAAAAAAGAAAAAGCAAAGGAAATAAAAAACTTGAAAATAATGATCAGAAAGTAGAAAAGAAAATGATATATGTAAAGATGTAGCTTCTGATATTCTTCAAAGCACTTGTAAATACAAATGCATATTTAAACTCTCTAAAGTTATATCCTATTACTCTTCTTTCTATATTGTCTAATCATCAAAATCATAAATTGCAAGTTTTTTTTTCTTTTTTATGCCAAAAGCCCACAAGAGGCTTCCAGGGAGGCAGACTTAAACATGCTTAGATCAGCAATGTTAGCCCAATGCATATCTTAGACATCAAGATTTTTTTTTTCTTCAATGGTGAGGTCAGTTCCAAATAGTTGAATCTTAGCTATACAGTTGCTTGTTCTGAAATTGAGGGAGGATTAGCAAGACTCTACAGTATTTGCAAACAATCACTTTAATATATAAACAATGCATCTCTGCTATTACCTGGATCTTGGCTATCAATCTGAATTGCTACTACAGGTCAACTTACAGCCATTTGTTTAGTGAAAAAAAGATATAACTGCAGCACTGGGAAAAGTGACTTATGACTGGTCGTCACACATATGACCGTCACAGCATCCCTATCGTTTCATAATCAAAGTTTGGGCGCTTCACAACCAGCATATATTTACTAACAGTTGCTGTGTCCTGGGGTCACTGCAACTGTTGTAATCACCATGTGTGATTTTCTCAGCCAGCTTCTGACAAGCAAAATCAACGAGGGAAGCTAGAATCACTAAAAAAAACTGCATGATTCACTTGGCAAAAAGTTCATAAAATCAGGCCCGATTCATTGAACAGTTGTGTTGCTTAACAGCAGAAATTCTGGATCCAATTGTAGTCATAGGTTGAGAACTACCTGTGTTGAGCTATATTCCATTTTTGAAACTTCCCCACGTGTTGTTCTTCAGCGTCTACTTCTATCAAGAGCAAGTCCTCAACTTTCAGCAGTTCATTTGGTGACTGAAGTTACAGCGGCACTGAAAAAAGCCACTTATGACCATTTTTCACACATACAATCTTTGCAGCATCCCCACAGTCACATGATCAAAATCCGGACACTTGGCAACTGGCTTGTACTTATGATGGTTGCAGCGTCCCATAATCATGTAAATAAGTCTGGCTAGAAAGGTCTTAAAACGGGGTAAAACTCAGCAACTGTCTCTCTTAGCAACAGAAATTTCTCATTTGTGGTCGTAAAGACCACCCATAGTGACATTTTGAGGACCATCCATAGTGACATTTTCTGACATGTACAATTGAGTAGCACTAAACTTTCCTAGCTACTCTGAAGCAAGAGGCGGAATCTTTGCACATGGGTGGAGGAAGGAGCGCTTAAGCATACCAAGCTGTTCATGTAGCCCCAAGCCAAGAATTGGCTTGTGTCTGAACAATCCAGTATTTCTTAATAACCTTCTGCTATCCACCCACATTTTTAAAAGAAGAAAACCCAACCATAAGAAAATATAATCTATGAATAAGGCACTCCATGTC